GCATGGGGAGAGCTATTTCTTTGGATCCGGTGGTTTTGGCGAAAGTCCAGTGAGATCCCCAGCTGCTGCAGGGAGTTCTGCATATGGGAAAAATAGCCCATTTGCCTTCGATGACTCTGTCCCTGGGTCTCCACTTTCAAGAGCTGGGAATTCACCGCGGTATAGTACTGGATCAGGGGACCCTTTCGAGAGTTTCTCTAGGTTCGATTCCTTCCGCACTAATGATCACAGCTCTTCTCCCCGAGGAGAAACTCTCACGAGGTTTGACTCCATGAACAGCATAAGTGTTGGTGACGAACATAGTAGAGGGTTCTCTTATGATGATTCTGACCCGTTTGGGTCTAGTGGTCCATTTAAGGTCTCAGCTACGAGTCAAACCCCTAAGAAAAGTTCCGATAATTGGAGTGCTTTCTAGTTTATGATTTTTGTGCCTAGACTATTTTTTCCCGCGCAGCCTTGACATATGTGTTGCTGACAATGAATCGCGTGGCATTTTTTGTTGTTGTATACAAGAGTGTGATAACAGTGGAGAGTGTAAATTCGTGCCATGCAATTTCATTGCTTTCCACTTTTTAGGAACAATTTTTTATCCCCCCCCCCACTCCCCTCCATTGTTGGGGTAAAAAACTAGTCAAAAAATACTTATACAGAACATAAAATTGGTGACCTACGGCCCTGCCTTTGCTTTTACACGACGTGTTTCTCAAAGGCTTCTTGTTCTTGTGTATTCATAAAGTTTTGTGTTCATAAATTTGTTGTTTTTACTGAAAACATGAAATCATCTTTAAAAAAAATGTGTACGGTAACCACAGTGTAAGTTAGTTGCTTAGTGAGAACCCAACATGGTTTGATCAATCAATGATGGTACTTTGTATAGATGATGGTGGAAACTTAGCAAATTGTTTGAATGACATAGATTTACATCTCTAAAAGGTCTGGGATGTATTCTTAGGGGCAGAATAGAATTAGTCTCGAAGTCAGGATTACATTATGTTAACAAGAAAGACCCAAACAACAATTACAATCCCCAATCAAACAAAAAAACCAATGTGTATGTGTAGCGTCCCAAAAAAGAACTACAAATAAAAATATATGCCTTTGTCGAGTTGAATTTTGCCAAGTTTAATCATTATGCTCCGGTATATAATAATAAAGTAATAAACTAAATAAATATATGATCGAAGTTTACGGATTGAGATCCTCTACCCGACTAGGAGGGTGCCTTGCGCATCGGACGGGAGAGGAGCGGCCAACACGACCTCGAGATCAGCAAAAAAGTGGAGCCCAAGATCTCCGATCGTTGAATTGTCGATCGGACGATCGGGAGGAAGGCACTCCACCTTACTCTAAAGTAAGGTAGAGGCTCCGGATCCGAAGTTTACACACAGTCACACACATAAGAAAGAAACACTAAAAGCCACAATCGCACAATGTATTTTCTTGAAAGTGAAAATAGAAACATTTATTGAACAATAAAAACTTGAAAGTGGATAAACTCAGTTGGACATTTTTTAAATTATTTATGAAATTAAAGTTAATTAGTTAACATGAGACCTAAAAAATCTAACTCGTTGATTTCTTATGTGTGTGTAAACTTGATTTTATCAATGTTTGATTATTCCTCAAAAATGTTGGCCGCAATAATTTATCATGATAAATTACCATGAGTTTGCTCTTCGTTTACAGAAACAAACTCACGGACTCACCCAAGATGAGACGACCTATGTACACTCTCCAACCTTATCATTTAGAATATGAATGGAATTAAAGTTGATAGAAGTTGCAATTTAAATAATAAAGCATACATTTCAAAGATTTTTTTTTGAACGAATACATTTTAAAGATTATACACTAATAAATCAATATGAATTGAATCACAAATAAAATCATAGTAGAATCATGAAAAACCATTTAGAATCGCATAAAAATGTAAAACTATCATACAATTGTAGTGATGATTTCTAATGAATAGGTCGAAATTATTAATATTAACTGTGAAATCTAGACATATAGTTCCAATAGCAATGAGAAGAATAATACTACGTATAATAATCAAATTGATTTGCAAATGTTTTTTCAATGATTTTGCGTTTGACATATCACATATGCTTAATATCATATAATGTGTTCATTTGCACTACAAAAAACTTGCTTATGAATACATAAGCATAGTTTTAAGTAATAGAGCGACTTATTATTATTGACTTGTAGATTTGTTTTAATATTTAACTTTTCAACAATTGTGGTATGTATTTTATAAAATCTAGCCTGTGTTTTATGATTCGATTTAGCGTTCGATTTTCAAGAAGCCTTATAAATTCGATTCAAAACTATTACTTTCTTTTTAATTATAAAAATGAGAGAATTTCCCAAATAGGAGTAAAAGATAGGCAAAATGCAAAAATAGGAGTACCATGTTTTGAATAGCAGTAACTTTAGTGTTTAGACAAATATATCCCTACCCAAGTCCCAACAACTTTCATTAATAATTAAAACATAAAAGGAATAACATTAATTTATAATAAAATTGTAAAAAAAATGAAAAAACACAAAAATATATCAAATAAAACATACTCCGTATTAAATAAAATTAATAAAAATAAAAATTATTAAAATAAAAAATATTAAATAAAAAAAATTAAAATTAAAAAAAAACTAAAAAAAATATGTAGGCGTCTGCCGCCGCCTCAACAACCTCCCAGCACCACCAGCTCCGACCCCTGAAAAAATGCCAACATTTTTCCGAAATGCCATCATGATGGCAGATTTTGAGAAAATTTGGCATATTTCAAAGAGCAAAACTGTCATCTTTATGACATTTTTAAAGAAAAATGGAAGTTTTAACATAAGATGACATTTTTTCCACCGATCGGAGGTGACATTGCTGGGTGATGGCCGAGGTTGCGGCAAAAGCCTGCATATTTTTTTTATATTTTTAATGTGGTTTATCTATTTTTTATTTATTTTCAAAAAAAAATGTTTAAATTTTTTATTTTTATTTTTATTATTTCAATATATATTTTCAAATATTTTAGAATTTTTTTTATATATTATTAGGATCAAATAAGTCATATTTTAGAATTAACTAGGTTAGGGATATTAAGGGTACAAAATTAATGTTTACTCCTATTGAAGGAAGTTTTAAGTTTCACTCCTATTTGTGCAATTATGTTTATGTTTACTCCTATATTGGGCAATTTCTTTAACAATGTAATGAGTTTTGCCACTTTTAATCTCCCGACTATCGTATCAGTGACATTTTTTGACCCAACTTTTAAATTTTTCATTTTTAGTCATTGACTATTGCGCGAGAGACACTTTTAGTTATCAACTTCAAAGTTTCCCACATTTAATCATCTGAGTATTGTCAAATTGCACTTTTAATTTTTCCACTATGAGTTTGACACAATAAGTAGAGGACTAAAAATGTCACTGTTATAAGAATTGAAGGACCAAAAGTGTATACTTTATGAAAGTCGAATGATTAAATATGGAAATTTTCAAATACGGGTACCAAAAGTGTCTTTCGCACAATAGTGGATGGATTAGAAGTGGAAAAAATCAAATACGAGTACAAAAAAATGTCATGTATAAAATTATGTAATTTATGTAATATTTGGAGGATTAAAAATGACAAAAACTTGACTGTAATTTACTAGTCAAAACTAATAGTCGTCTACTAAAACAATTTTCGATTTATTAGCATTATTAGCCAACTTTCTAACTAAACGTATAAATTTTATTTTTAGCACTAAATAGTGTATTAATCAAATGACTAAGATTAAAGTGATCTTTTAACTGAATTGATTGGAATTACACAACTTACCTATTTTTTCATATAATTGTTTCTTGTTAAAATATTGTTTTTCTTTGATTCAACATGTTCACTCAAGTAAACGTTTCTGATGAAGTTTTCTCAATTTGAACATATCAATCAATTCACCTAATTTTAGTTCTTCCAATAAAGGTTGAATCTCCAACCCCAAGGGTTCACCACGCCCTGCCCGACAAGGCATATGATCTATGTAGCACCAATACTCGACTAAGGTACCGTCATCGTATCGAAAATATCCTCATATCATATATTTTATGATGCATGTATTGTACCAGGATGTATATGCAATTTATTTAAAAAATCAACTTTTTTGGTAATTATTTAAAATTTTGGACACACATACATTGACGGATATACAAATCAAGATAATGTTTTATTAAGAAAATACAAAACAATTAAATAATAAAAGTCTTAAATTATGCTTCGTATATTTTTTAGTGTTTATTAGAATATCATTTTCTATCATTGTTAAGAATCTTTTATCAATGAGTTTGAATACTTACACTTTTAATTTTAAAATTGTGACTTATGACTATATTTGTATTTCTAGTTGTATACGAGATGAAGTATAATTTTCATTCGTAACTATTTTGATAACGTGAAATGCTTCAATGTCACGAATGAGTAGGAGATTACATATGTATTCAGAAAAGTTCTTGTGATTTTTAATATTTATAAAAACATGCCATTATTTTTAATCTTTATGAATACACCCCATATTTTTTAGTATTTATAAAAACACTGCTGTATCTGCATCCTATTTTTTGTTTTTGTTTTAATTTGGCGTATCTTATTACTCATTTCCTCATTCTCGTATTTATGCTACATAACATATCAGTGACTTTATATCACGGTGACTCGGTCAGTACAATGATGATAGGAAAAAATGATTGATGTATACTTTTCGTACATTCGTCTATCTCACGCACACAGAGTTGTCTGCCCCACAAACAAATTTGTATAGTTGTCTGTGGAGTGTGAACAGACAACTACTCTGTGTGCATGAGACAGACGAATGTATGAAATGTGCGCGCGAAAATTTGTACTTCTAAGTTCTAATTCTAATAATAGACCTTGTACTCGTACGTACCCGAAGTCCAAAACAGCAGAAAGATGTTGAACCCAGCACGCCACTCCATCGAACTACGCGTGCGGGTTATTCACCTAATTCTGAAAGTATTTATTGATTTTGGGGTTTACGAGAGGAATCGTTACCGAGGATAACTTTGGCGTGCCGATCTCGAGTCAGCGCAGATTTATATTTTCGACGCCTACCTGGCAGCGTACGGCGTAAGAATTCCCCGCCATTTTAAAAATTCCCATTTCAATATGTTCCCGCTAAAACTACTCCCCCCAACTCTGGTAAAAATACCTACTCACTCCCCTGCGGCCCGCACCGTTCTTCCTTGAGAACCAGAACGGAGTACTCCGCCGCATCTAATAATTCCCGATTATGTTGAAAACGAAGATCCGAAAAGCGGACCAGGATATGAAGCCGACGGCAAATCCTATCCTCACACCCGCCAAAACCGTCATTCACATCGGCGGTATTCCGGTGGAGTTTCCCTTCCACCCGTATGGCACGCAGCTGGCATTTATGAATAGGGTTATTTCGACCTTGGATCGCGCGCATAAGGATGGCCGATCACACGCGCTGCTCGAGTCTCCTACCGGTACCGGAAAATCGCTTTCCCTTCTCTGCTCTGCACTAGCTTGGCAGCAGAACTTCAAGTCGAAGAACCGTTTTTCCAATCCCAGCTACTCAAAACCCGACCCGGAGGCCCTATCTGATCCCATTGGTCATGGTGGTGGATTTATTCCGGAAACACAACCCTCAGGTAGTGACATTGTGTGTTTTGAACCATATGTAGTTCGTACAAATAAACGTTTCGGCATTTTCAATTGCAAGTTTTTTAAGTCTCTGAGTTTCGAGCTGGCATTTGTGTGCAGGAAACCCAGAACCAGCACCATTAGTCGAGGCAGTTGGAAATAATCGGAAGACAGCTGCAGTTGGGAAGAACGGGAAGAAGAAGTTGGCGCCCACTATTTTTTATGCCACGTAAGGCTTCATTCTTTTGAATCTTTTTTTTTTCCCATTCTGTTGTTTGGCGCAGATAGGGAATTGGAGCCTTTTAGAGTATAGAAGCACCGGAGATGGTCTGTCTAAATTCTAAAGTTGCTATATGAATGCATGCTGGCTATCTTTGTTTTTTTTATTATTACTCGGTATTTTAAATACAATCAGTTCACCATTCTGTTTCTATGTAATCAGGAGGACGCATTCACAAATTTCTCAAGTAATCAGAGAGTATAGGAAGACGTCTTATCGGGTCCCAATGGCTGTGCTTGTAGGTTCTTTGTTGCTTAAACCAATCCTCTTTTCAATAGTCACTCTTATCTGCTGCATAATCACTGCATCAACCAACACTCTCCTATTATGTGTACTGTCTTCCTCCATAGTTGCAATCTATACTTGAGGTGTATGAAATTAATATGATTCCACTTATTTTTCAGGCATCACGAAAACATTACTGTACAAATATGAATGTCCGTGGGATGGATAATGTTGATGAACTATGGTAATTTCCTAATCCAACTATCTTACTTTTACTCTTGTTTCATAATTATATTATTCCTTTTAATGTTATTTGTTTCTATCATTTTTTTCCGCATTTATTTCATTGTTTGCTTACATGTACGGTTGAATATTCTAGTAAGTCATTGCTAAAAGGAAATGATGTAAGCTGCTATGAATTCAAGTGAGTTACCTTTCTCCATCTGTAATAGCACTTTACTGCTCTCCTATGGACGAAAATGATGTCACATAACTGCCTTTTACCCGACAGAAATGCTCATAAGGTCAAAGGTCATCCATCTCTCCAGAAAGGAGCTTGCCATGAGGCTCATGATATCGAAGATCTTGTCAAAGTTGGACAAGTTGTTAGAGGTTGTGCCCTGTACATATGAATTCTTTTATAATTTTGCACTTAAAAGTTTATTAATGTTCTACATTGTTATTCAGGATGTTCGTACTTCGCAGCACTTTCCATGGCTGATGACGCGGAGCTAGTTTTCTGCCCATACAGCTATATCATTAACCCAGTCATTCGGAAAGCCATGGATGTGGATATTAATGGATCAATTATTATTTTTGATGAAGCCCAGTATGTATTGTTATTTATAGGTTTACCTGGTGCAGTTTGATATACTGCAACAAGTTTTTTGCACAAACTTCACTTTCTAGTCACGTGTATGTGCATAAACCGAGTCATCAGACATTAGACTTGTACGTGCATGAACAAATGTTAGACTTGTGTGTGAATGTACATACATTAGACTCTTCTGTGCGTGCACAGACACACACTAGGGATGTCTTTGAGAGCAGGCCATGGTGAAGTTTATGTAAAAGGCGGTTTTCATACAGCACTTTTGTAAATTTCAGGAGTTGATTGGATATGCAACATTCTGTACAAAATAATGCATCTAAGAGAATGAATACCTTTGATTGATGCCAAGTTTTTACGTGTTGTAGTGATAAGTATGCTTCATGTTTTTTTTACTTTATCTAGTTTTTATGTGGGCAGCAATATAGAAGATATCTCCCGAGATGCTGGTAGCATAGATGTAGAGGAAGACGTCTTTCTTCGTGAGCACAAACTCAAATCTCTTTGTTTTTGTTTTCTTTAGTTTCTTTGAGTTCTAAATGACTAAATGTGAGAAGTAATTTCTTCTATATGTCACCTTAATATACTAATTTCACTTTGGCAGAATTGTTGACCGAGCTGGAGCAACTTGCGCTTAACGATGCGATGACTTACCAACCATTGATAGAAATGGTGCAGGTAATTGATTGAAACATTTTATCTAAGCCATTTGAATCCATTTCGTTCAGAATCTCAACAAATATTTTCACATTTCTGTAGGATCTTATCAATTGGATTGATAGAAGGAAAAACAGCCTAGGAAGGCATGACTTTCAACACTACTTCTCAGGGTGAGCATTTGTTTTGCAATCCAATAATTGGTTCCTGCTCTCTATCTCAATAAAATTGCTCCCCCTCCTCCCACACACCGATCCCCTTGCGTGCATGTGTGCTTTCTAAAACTCCTTGACTATCAGTATTGTGCTATACAAGGAATGACAAACAACTTTCTTTTTTATTTATCCCAAGTCTCGGTACAGTTCCCCCTTGAATAAATCGCTTGTTTGACTGATGCTATGACCTTTGTTCATTGCATATTAATTGTACTTGGGTGTTTTGTCAACTAATTTTCAGTTGGACTGGTGACAAAGCTTTAAAGGAGTTAGAAGAAGCAAATGTGTCAAGACAGTGCTTCCCAATATTACGAGAGTGCGCTACAAAGGTTCGGTATCTTATACACATTTATTATATACTTAATATACATATAGTGTTAATTTTCACAATTAACACTAATTTTCACAACCTACTGCATGTCAAAATTAGTGTTAATTCCCTTGCTTTGGTTGCCATAATTGTTATTGTCATTGTTACCTTTCCCAAAGGCAATCAGACTGTCTTCTGATACAGAGTCTGATGTACCTCAACTGACCGGAAAAGCAGCAATTGTTTTGGAAGGTATTGCATCTTGTCACTGACCAATGCTAAACATGACTTTGCTATCAATGGAAATTTATGATTCTATATATGTGTTACTGTTGTTCAGGGTTGTTTTCTTCACTTAGTTACTTCTTCTCAGAGGATGGGGCTCATGTATGTGATTTTCAGCTAGTACTGCAGCGTCAAATTAAAAGGGTTGCTGGTATGTAGTTAGAAATCTAAAAAAACACCACTCGGTTATTGTTTATTGTTATCCATCTCAAACACAGAGCATCCTTGCATTTCATGATAAAAAGAATGGAGCAATGGACACATCACATCTTAAAATTATCACACTTCTTCTCTAATGGAAGTGTTTTATAAGGAATTTGTTTTAAGGAATTTGTTTTATATGGAGTTTGAGCTCCTTGTAGAGGAAATGATGGAGAAACACGATTTATTTACATTAACTCAACGGTCTCAACCTATAATTGATATTTCCCCCCTTTTGACTCTCGTCACATTACACATGCAGGAAGTGCTGTTAATAGTTGGACTCATACATTTAGCTTATGGTGCTTGAATCCAGCTGTTGTCTTCAAAAAAGTGGCTGATCTATCTCTATCTGTTATTCTTACATCAGGGTATTCATGATTACGTGCAAGCCTAAATAGAATTTTAGCAGCGATATACATATTCCCCCAGATTCAACAAAGTTATGCTTTGTTTGAGCTCAATTATTTTAATGATACTCTTATGTTGTCCTAATCCAATTCAAAAATATAGATTGTAAGTACCTTTGGGCAAATATGCTCACAGGGATTCAGCACAACATGTCAACATATTTACATAATCACTGTAGATATTTTACTCTGTAGATAAATTGGTGCTTGTGCGCACTTAATCTTTTTGTCTTCAAATTTACTTTCTATGCTAACGCCTATGCAAGCTCAAATTTACATAAAGGTCTTTATGTAACCAATGATTTCTCTTACAGGACTTTGTCACCCATGAACTCCTTTACATCTGAACTCGGTGTTCCTTTTAATACTTCACTGGAAGCTCCACATGTTATAGACACTGAGTCGCAGGTATATATGCATTTGTTGTGGTTATATACATACCCCATTCTCTTTTAGTTGCAACATATTGACTTATGCACTATTTCACACCTTACTTTGTCTCCATATATGTTCTCAAAATATCAACTCTTAAATTTTTTAATCATTAAAAGCATTTCTTGTCAAATGACTAAGACAAACTATTGCAAGTTAAAAATAGAGGTTAGTAGTTAAGCACATGTGTATGATATAATAATGTGCTGACTTGCTAGATGTGATCTTCAGTTATGGGCTGCTGTAATCTCCAGAGGCCCTAGAAACTATCCACTGAATGCAAGTTATAAAACAGCAGATTCATATGCTTTCCAGGTATTGTAAGCCATTTAGACCAATATTTGATAAAAAGAGTCATCACCCACCACCACCACGACCTTCTCTCACGTGTCTCCTTTTCTTTGTGAAGGACTCACTTGGTACATCTATAGAAGAAATATGCAAGGTTGTTCCAGGTGGCTGTCTTATATTTTTCCCTAGCTATAAACTGATGGAGAAATTAAGAAGTCGCTGGCAGGAAACAGGCCAATGGGCTCGCATTAATGCTAGAAAACCGCTTTTTGTTGGTAAGATGTGCTTTGATTATATCATTTGACTATCAATACTTTATTTATTTGCACATGAAGGGGCCAAGTTGACTACAAAGTAGAAACTATCTACACTATATTTGTGGTTGCTAGGAATAATTTAACTTTTCTCTGTTATTTATTGACTGGCTTTGTTATATTTAGAGCCACGAGGAAGCCAGGAAGAGTTTGAATCCGTTTTGAAAGGTTATTATAAATCAATTCACCAAGGAAGTAAACCAGGATTGGGAAGAAAGAAAGTCAGAAATTCTGGCAAGATTTTAGCGAGATCTTCTGAAGATTACAAGAAAGAAGCAGCTTTTCTTGCAGTCTGCAGAGGAAAGGTATTCTATCCGTGATTTTCTTCCTGGGGCGTTTTTCTGCCTGTGATCATAAGATCTCAAACTTTATAACCCTTTTGGATATATTGGACTGTATTTTTAAGTCCTATCACAGACTCACTGATATTGGACTGTATATACATAATTTGATGTCCACTTCTATTTCCAGTCCTATCACAGACTCACTGTATTTGCCAAATGTTTGAGTTGAATGTCTAATACTCTCTCGGTCCCTCTAAGATTGTCCCATTTTACCTTTTCGGGAAGTCCCACTAAGATTGTCTCATACCAAATTTGGTAAAGATTGTGTGGCTCTAAACCATTCTTACTTTATTCTTACTTTATCAATTTAATATCAACCACATAAACCCACTTTTCTTAATAATCGTACCACCTTCTTCCGTCCCAATCTTAGTGGGACGGAGGTAGTACTTCTTAAAGCTAACATGCGGGATATCATTAACAATCGTGCCTTCTTCGTTCTCATATATTTGAATATGTTAGATAACACCATGCTATTAATAGTTTTCCAATTTTGCTGAAGACGGAAATCAAGTGTTATTCTACTAGTCGAGTACCAAAATTCTATACTTGGACATTGGTAAATGAAGTACTTCCTGTCTCTAAATGTAACATTGGGTCTGACACACTATATAAAAAGAAATAAAAGTGATGTTATTTAGTTAGCGAGTTTACCAATTTGAAAGAATGAAGAAAATAACTCTAGCAGTGTAGCACCCATCAACTTTTGTTGAAAAAATAGATTAAAAGATATTTTGGAAAAGTCGAAAAGTAAAGGATATTAGTATGTTTTTAGGAAATAGCTTTATTTTGGTGCAAACTAAAAAGCGAAGTGGGACTTACGTAATGGGAGTCCCGTTCTTGTCCAGTCGGCCTGACGGGAACCGCCGTCCGGCCGAGGGCATTTCGGGCACTTCCCGATCAAATTTTTTGATGAAAGTTTTTTAGCATGTTCTTCATCAAGTCTAGTTTATCCATACCAAATTTCAGCTCAAAATTCGATCGGGGAGACATTCAAATATTTTTTTGAAGTTGACTGCGTCAAAATATACATATAAAAACGCAGTCAACTTCAAAAAATGATTTGAATGCCTTCCCGATCGAATTTTGAGCTGAAATTTGGTATGGATAAACTAGACTTGATGAAGAACATGCTCAAAAAATTTCATCAAAAAATTCGATCAGGAAGTGCCCGAAATGCCCTCGGCCGGACGGCAGTTCCCGTCAGGCCGGCTGGACATGAAGTTTTCTCTACGTAATGGATCACATGTAGGCTACATAATTTAACTACTACTTTGGCTTGACTGCTGAACTTATTTTTCCAAAAGCATTTTTTATGTGGCATAGAATCCAAATTCACCTTTAAAGTCCATAAGAAATCTTTTGAAGTATCTTTTGAGTCATGATCATTCTGAAAGTGAAAGGAATGCCTCATTTTTCATGTAGCCCCACAGCAGACATAAGATTTCAGATTTTGCACACAGGTACATAAATAGGCCTTATATATGATTCATTCCAAATAATTTTCAACTTGGTGAAATAGTCAGTCATCACGTGTATTCCTTTTTAGGTGTACATTTCTTCCATTAGCTCACAAATACTATATGTATCTATTGGCTTGATAGTACATCTCTCAAATCATTCTTGACTTTAAAAGCAAGGCCAGTTCAAATGAAACTTTGTAAAGCAGAAGAAATTGAACGATCCAAGAGCTTACCATAGTGTTACTTTACTAACATCTCTTCCAAGCTCATAGGTTGGATGGTTTCTAGGGTGTGCTTTAATTGTTCTGTCAAAAAGATCCATTTGTTTGTTCTTAAAAGTAAGCCTGTCTCATTGCTTGGGGCCAGGGTGATAATTGGAGGAAGGATAAACAAAATCAAAATCAGGGTAAGAGTTGTTATAGCATAATTGTTTGGGATTAGAGAAAGTTAGATATATAGCTCACTCACCACCCTTATTCCCAACATGATATGGTGCCCAGGGGCTGCCTCGTGAAGACCTTCGATCCGGACCTTCACATCTACTGTCTCTTAGAGAATGAACCACGCCATCCCCTCGCTAGTGCTAAATCTCGATATCGCAAGAATATAGCGATCGAAGAGCTCAAACCTACAATATCACCGTGTTTAACCAATTAAACTGTAAGCCCCTGCCTTCAACTAGTTGTGAAGTGTTTAGAGTCAGATATGAACCAAGGCATAGGCATTTTCGGGGACTGGCCTCCTCCCTTCTTTCTTTGGTCAGAATACAAATGAGCATCCAAAAGAGAAGTTCACACCCCGATCCCTTTCATCCGTGTTTAGTCTCAAATCCACAAACATCTTCAGTTTTAGAGGAGAATGGTTGATTGTATGTTACCCAACGTGAGATAGCTGTTAGAGTTGATACTACAGTGGAGTGATGGTTTTTATACAATTCAAGCTTGTTCTTTCATGGCAACGAAGAGAAAACCGAAATCAAATGAAGTAATCCTTATATTTAATACGGAGTATTATGAAATCGTGCAATTGAAGTACACAGAGATAACTTATATACGAGAAGGGACAACGGTGCCGCATAATAACTTTCGAAAAGAACTAACATCTTAAGTACTTTGTTCTATCTTTTAGCTCGCTATCTTGATATGTCAATACCTCTTGCAACCTGATTTTGTCTATCTATAAAGTCAAAATTGGCAAGTTGTGTTTCTTCTGAATTCTGAAATCAAATATGATTAGTGCAGGTTTCTGAAGGCATTGATTTCTCCGATGACATGGCTAGAGTTGTCGTATCCTTTTTCTCCTTGAATGATGTTAATACAATTTCCTTTTTAGTTCTAGCAACCGGTGAATTTTATATTTGATGTAGTAGTATCTTTGATAGGTTTTCCTTTAATGAGGGTTCAAATTGCATCTCAGATTCTCTGTAAAGATCAATCTTCACTACAATAGTAATATTCTGTAAAAGTGCCATGCTTGTTCAGAGGTTTATTTAATTAAAGGAGTTTCAATTGTGACACGTGGCTCCTTAATTCTGATTATATTACAGATAGTTGTTGGGGTTCCCTTTCCAAACATGTGAGACACCGTACTTCATCTCTGTAATTTCTTTCCTTTCTTTATTTAGCTTGTATAATATTTTGAATTCTGGCCGTGTATGATCAGAAATGATATTCAAGTTGCTCAAAAGAAGAAATTCAATGATACATACAAGCTGTCCAAAGGCCTTCTTAGTGGAAGTGATTGGTACTGCCAGCAAGCATTCCGAGCTGTTAATCAGGCTACAGGTGCACACCTCAAATCCTCAATAAAATATTATATAAAATACTATGTATTTAACATGAATAAAGGAAATTATTATATGAACCACTTTGAACTGGATTTGATCCTGATATTTATTACCTTTCTTCTATGTAGGCCGCTGTATTCGACATAAATTTGATTATGGAGCTATCATTTTTTTAGGTAATTATTACTCGACACACATTTTTTCTGTTTAAGAACTGATATTGACAAAAGGAGCTTTACTGATATAACAAAATTAGGATACATGTAGATGGAAATCATAAAGAAGTCCGGTTTTTGTTCATTCTGTTTTCGGGGTATTAAACTAGTACCTCATTAGGGATAATCAATATAAGCATTGGTCGTGTAATAAAACTCGTATCATATTTTTCAGAGAACTTGTTGAGGTTTTCCTTTACATACAGATGAGCGCTTTTGTGAGGCAAGAAATAGGGGATACATTTCAAAGTGGTTGCGGAATTCAATTAAAGAATACGAATGCTTTGAGGATTCATTGGATGGGTTGGAATCCTTTTTCAGAGACGTGAAGGTACTTCATTAACATTCTTTCTTTCGGGATAGGAGGGAGCAGATGGGGCAACTGCAAAATATAACTGTAGTTTTCTTTTTCTGCTTTCTATCAGGAACGTATTGGGAAACCGACAGATGCTACACAAAGCTCTGTTGCTAATCTCGAGGTTACACCTTGTGCAAGTAAGAGCCAGATATCTGCAAAAAACAATCAGATATCGAATGTTTCAACTTTGCCAAGGGAAGATGCTGAAGCAAGTGTTGCAAAAAGAAATCAGGAATCAGCTGGCCTACCCAAACCGTTGAAGATGTTCTCAATATGTGGTTCACCTAATAATGGAGTGAGCCCTGGTATTCAGGGCTATAGGTCTACAAACAAAAATAACTCTAAAGACAACAAAACTTATATTGATTTAGAATGTGATTCTCCAAATGGCCCCAGGTAGGATTTGGTAAATATTGACTTTCCAACTTATCTGTCACCTAACTAAAAATTGACAGCCTCTATCAGTGTTTGAGTTTTCATTATTCTGTTCGGTTGGAAGCTAATATACTGCTGCTCTTGTTCAATGTCTCATTGTTTAAAATTGCGTTCCGCCTCTACGCAATAAGGCTAGCCTTGCGACTTTTAGACATTCTAGGATACAAGGCTGAATGTCTAAGATAATGAGATAGCATGCTGTCATTTGGTATCATGAAAAATAATACTCTATATATTGGTAGGTGCTCCGGAGAAGTATTGATGGCAGCTTACATTAGTGACACAGAAGAATCTGCTTTTGGAAAGGAAACTCATAGTATCAGTGGCACTGTTCATTCTACCTCCCCCCAATCATTCTCCAAGGAATATTCCAATTCAACAGTTATTCAAGCATCTGTTGAACATTCAAACAACTTGACATGTGATACTATGACCATACCTGATCCAAAGATGAGCCCTGAATCAAAATGTTTTATGGTCACACCCGAAAGGTATCCTTGTGCAGCACATAATGGTATAACTCCTGATGTAGAAAGTGTGAACTCCCATGCAGAAAAAAGGAGAAAACACTTTGATTTATCCTCTGTTAGCCTCAATGTAGAGAAACTTGATTCTACAGTCGCTACCACTCCTGTCGATGATTACTCCCAGCCACGCTTAAGGGAGACCAAAGGTGAAAACATGGGCACTGATTGTGATTCCATGGTCAATACATCATATAACTATGGGTCCAAATTTCCTAGGTCAGGAACCCTGAATCATTGTGATCGATTACATGTGAAGTCTACCCTTGTTTTGGACAATAGACTACAAATTTTTTGCTCAAGCTGCACAAGTGCATTGGGTCTTCCTGAGAACAACTTAATAGTTCGTTGCTTAATCACTTCATCAACAAAGATTCATATAAAATCACTTTGGCAGAGGAAATCAGACCTTGATTTGGGAACATCAAGCATTCCTATTTTGATAACCGATATGGAATCGATTGATCATCGAATCTACAATATAACTTGTGAAAGTACTCCTTCTGAGGGGATTTGGTGTAAAGATGATGGATGTGTATTCAAAGCTATTTTCTGCCCATTCTGTGCCAAACCAACCAATCTTGGTGTACAGGTCATGGCTGCTGATGCATTAAATATCCAATTTCTTAACAAGGTATGTTTTTATGCTGCATCTGTTTGACAATAGTGTTTGGCCTTATTCATGTGAGATGTATGAATGTATCATCAATCCGACATTTGATTCTGTTAATGATTATCTGTTACATGAACTCTCATCCTCTTTGTACTTGTTTTTTGTTTGCAGATACTATTCTATTCTGATTCCCTCTTGATAAAGGCCACTGATTCATCAAAAGTGGTAACCTTCTCGTCTTTTGGCCTCTATCGTCACTTTAGTATTACTGTAAATCTCAATTAATCACTTGTGACGCGAGAGTTTCCTGTGAGAATAATACCAGGCTTAACCCTTATGGTAGCCCTGACAGATATATATATAGACAAAAGAGTTATAATTACATAAAGAGTTCCACAATAATAATAATATTAAAACTACACTATTACACCCCCTCAAGCTGTGCAGGGGAAAGAATGCGCAGATTGTCACGAAGAAGAGTAAAACGTTGTGGAGACAAGCACTTAGTAAAAATATCTGCCAGCTGAGCCTGTGTAGGAACATATTTGACACAAAGATCACCATGGGCCACCCGCTCGCGCACAAAATGATAATCAATGTTAATATGCTTACTCCTAGCATGCTGAATAGGATTAACCGAAAGATACGAAGCAGAGACATTATCACAAAATAAGGTAGTAGGTTCCCGAACCGGAAACCCCAACTCAAACAAAACAGCCCGAATATGAAGTGTATCTTGAACAGTAAAAGCCACAGCACGATATTCAGCTTCAGTGGAGGATCTGGAAACTGTGGGTTGCTTCTTGGACTTCCAGGAGATGAGATTCGGTCCTAGAAATATCGCATAACCAGAGGTGGACCTACCTGTATCCGGACATCCAGCCCAATCAGCATCAGAGTAAGCAGTAATTACAGGAGACGCCTGAGACTTCTGTAAAAGGAGGCCATGCATGGATGTTCCCTGAAGATACCTGAAAATACGCTTAACAGCCAACATATGTGAAGTACGAGGTGCATGCATAAATTGAGAAACCAGGTGTACAGCAAAGGTAATATCCGGACATCCAGCCCAATCAGCATCAGAGTAAGCAGTAATTACAGGAGACGCCTGAGACTTCTGTAAAAGTGTAATAGTGTAGTTTTAATATTATTATTATTGTGGAACTCTTTATGTAATTATAACTCTTTTGTCTATATATATATCTGCCAGGGCTACCATAAGGGTTAAGCCTGGTATTATTCTCACATGGTATCAAGAGCCAAAAATCCCTAATTTTTTTCTCGTCTACGACATGTCTTCGGCGTCGATTTCCTCCATGGCCGTAGGTTTCGCGCAGCCATCTTCTTCTGCTGCCGCGATGCAGACCTCGCCCCAGGCCTCATCATCGTTGACTTCCTCCTCTCCAGCGCCGGCGACTTCTTCCTCCTGGACATCCCCTGCCTTCACCGCCGTGCAGCAGTCATCTTCCTCCTCTGGCCCGATTTTCAGCACCTCTGAAATTGGAGCTTGGGTGCCGCCTGTCTTTACCTGGACACCCACACCGCCACAACAGTCACTTCCTGCGTTTTCAGGCGCTCTTGGCGGATTTTCAGCAGAGTCCACTTCCCTGTTTGCTGGACAGAGCTTTGCGAGGCATCCAAGCCAGGCTCCCCTGTTTTCCGGTGGTCTTGGAGGTTCTTCAGCAGAATCTACCTCATTGTTTGCTGGCCCGACATTCGCCAGAAATCCGGGCACGACTCCATTGGTTTCGCCCGGTCCTATTGCTCCACGAGCGGCTGCACCTCCCGGTCCAGGTTCTACATTGACTGATTTAGTTAAAAATATTGGTCTGTCTGCCCTTAATATTACCAATATTGTTACTACTAAATTGACTGTTGTGGAAGATTACCTGTCTTGGCGCACTCAATTTGAGTCTTTTCTGGTGTCCAATGGTTTTTTGGGTATTATTGATGGTTCGCTCACTGCTCCTCCCCCTTATATTTTTGATGCCTATCACCATGAAACCCTTAATCCGGATTATTGTAATTGGTTAAAAATTGATCAAACTGTCCGCTCTTGGTTATTTGCTACTTTGTCTCGTGATGTGTTAATCGAGGTGCGTGATTTAAAGAATGCTTCCGCTATTTGGGATCGTTTGGAATCCCATTTTATGTCTGCTAGCCTTGCTCGGTCCATGGAACTGAAACGGCAGTTGACTCAGTCTCGAAAGAGTCCTACTCAGTCCATGGATCACTATCTCAGGGACATCAAAATAATTGCTGATAATTTAGCTATGATTAATGATCCGGTTGCTCCCCGTGAACTTTTCAAGACAATCTTACTTGGTTTGGGCCGAGATTACGAGTCTCTTATTACCTCAGTTGGTCTTTTTCCGGAGAGCTTCACGTTTCAAAAGCTGCGCACATGTTTGATTGAAAAGGAACAAACTTTACAGTATATGCGGTCAATGGAAGAACCCCTTCAGGCTCAGGCCTTTGCTGGACAGGCCCAGGCAGCGGGACAACCTCCTCAGGCAGCCGGGCAGCCGCACAGGGGGCGAGGACAGCGCGGTCGAGGTGGCCGCGGACAGCGAGGACGCGGTGGCCGCGGGCAGCGTGGCCGCGGATATGGCCCACCTCATCCTGGTCACGGTTATGTACCACCATATGGCTAATAATAATACCAGGCTTTTTGGCTCTGATACCATGTGAGAATAATACCAGGCTTAACCCTTATGGTAGCCCTGGCAGATATATATATAGACAAAAGAGTTATAATTACATAAAGAGTTCCACAATAATAATAATATTAAAACTACACTATTATTTCCAACATAATATAGTATATGCACAACTGCATATAAAATTGCACTATGCACATTACATCTCATCCCTTGATGTACCCTTTAATTTCTCATACATGCCCTAAAAGGAAAAGTGGAAAACATGATTAAGTAGCCAAAGTTTTTAGTTTCATTGGCTTCATATCTTTGTCTGGCATGTTTCCTCACTAACACTACATTTGATTCGTGACCATTCTAGGATTTGCCCCCATGTCCCGGTGACTCTAGCACCATTAAGAGTTTCTCTTCCACTCCTTATAAAAGTTCAACATGCTCTAGCGCCAGTCCCAAAGCTGACCCTGGTACTATAGAAAGTTTCTCTTACACTCCAGATGAAAAAAGAGCTACAGGATGGAGGACTACTAAGTCAAAGGTTAGACATTATATTCAGAAACAATATCATCATGCCGACATTGTTTTTCTATTTACTAATGAAAGGAAGGACCAATTAATGGTGCAAATGCGACTTCCAAAGAGAGAGCGGTTTTAAATGCTTTCTACTTAGTAATTACAAGAATTGATGTTGAGTCAAGCTCTTCCTACAGTCCTACATTTAGAAAGCTTTTTCCAGGCAATTTAGGAATGGATTTAATGCACGTGTATAGAAGGATGCTAACCTGCATTGGAATCTTAGTGGAAGATTAACTGCTCTTGCTATACCAGCTTTCAATTGAACAATGAACAGCAAGAAAAAAGAATCTAAAGATTCCGGCTTCAAGTATATTGGCTGAAAGTGAAAGTCCCGCTAATCAATTGTATGGCATTTTTAGCGCAGAGCTTTGGAATTGTAATTCATTGTTGTTTCATCTGTATAGTGTTTGCTCAGCTAATCACTTGAAACTGAAAGTGAAGTTTAGTTGTTGCAGCCTTCATTTATTTATTTTATATTCATTTCCATCTTTGACAGTGCTGCTTACTTTTGATGCACTTTTTCTCGTTTTGTTGGTTAATTACTTTTACTTTCTCGAAGATTGATCAAATTAACTTGTCAAATATTTTATAAGCGGCAAAGTAATTTTATTTATTTTTCCAAAAAAATAAAAAATTGCTGAGTAGTTTGTCTGACATAGTTTAAATATGAAACAACAAATTAACATACAAGATCATAAGCAACTCCTGTGAAGTTGATATTTTAGGGTGAAATCAAACCTTAATAAAATTTTATTTGTTACGATGCAAGTATGCAACTACTCTTTGTCCCGAGTCCAAGCATGGGCCATGGGATGTGTGAAACTGACTATAATGGGATATATCTTGTTTGGTTCTAGGATTTTGTTGAAATCGAGACTGGTCAGTTTGGTACCTATTTAGTGAAATCGAGACGAGCCAAATTGGGAACATGAAAACTGTCCAAATTTTGGCACTAAAGCCGAATAGTGTTCAGGCCTGGAAATGGGACTTTTGTATTGCTGGCTTGCTGCTGCCACCGCTCCTCCCTCAAGGTCTGTTTGGTACTCAACATGCTTGACAAAGTGAAGAAATACACATCACCCAAGTGCTGCAAAGGCTCTCCACCTACGATGGGGTAAACGGGGTCGGATGTACGCAACCTTACCCCTTTATACTAAAAGCACAAAAGAGATTTCTTCCAAATGACCCATGATGAAATTTGTGTCAAAATTGCATGGATTGACTATTGCTTCATAACAAACAGTTTAGTGAGTCACTTTACTTTATTGCGTCATATTCTCAAGCCAAAAAAATAGTGAGTCTTTGGCTGCTCCTTTGAAAATGATGAAAAATGACAAAGTGAAGAAATGATTGAATAAATATGAAATGAGAATGTAGAGGGAAGTAAAACATTGGTTGATTTTTTTTTTCCTGAAACGTTGGCGGAAATTCAACAAGTTAATGTTTATTATTCGTTCAAATTCAGTATAGTATTTCCAGTGGCAGCATCAATCACAAATATAGCAAGTTTGGATCATTGCCTCATTGGAATGCATATTGCATAAACAAAGCATGCTAGAGAAAATATCCATAGAGTTCCAAGAAGCAGATGGAGCAGTTCCAGATGTCCACCTCGTCTGCGCTAGGACCAGTCATCAGGATTCGAAAAAATCTGAAAGGAAACAACGGGCCAGAACCAATCACTGGCCAGGATGCGAACTGACCGGGCTTGCAAATTGTCTGGTCTTCCTTGTGCTCTATCAAGTTTGTCCAGTTCACACCATCTCCAGATCCCTGTCACATTTCATCCCCCCAGTCAACACCCAACCTTCTCAACAACATTATTCATTAATAAAATTACCAAGGATATGTCAAAAGGAAATCATGTTTCCCCCACTATATGACTAATGTTTTCTTTCCTAATCTGATGTTGTTCCTGATGCACATTAATACCACTTTACTCTTACGACCAACTATTGAATGTCTTAATTAGTCATACACCACATAACTTTAAGATTCATACTCATACAAGAATCTTTCAATGTTTTAGTCACATTAAGGTATATATTCCTTTGCATGCTTACCTGAAAATTCCAGCTTCTCATGAAAGTCCTTGATCCATCCTGGCGTATTGTGTAATAGTTGCACATCAGCTGCATCAACACATTGAAACATTCATACTCCGCAATTCCACATCATTGTGATTTGCCACAACTTCAGGAAATGAGAAAATTTTATTCTCTGAATAGTGAAATGCACTCCAATTGTAATTAATTACAGAAAGAATAAGCATCATTTATCCCTACCTGGTGATCATGACCTAGATCAACCATCCACCACGAGCTAATGTTTCCACTTTCGACCTGAGGTCCAGCAAAAGAAGTACCCTGGAAAATACACTTTTTTTATAATTCTTTTAAATTATATCCTGTCATAGTTTAATGATATATATATATTCCAAACCAGTAAAGGATATACTCTGTCCCAAACGTGTTGCAATTTATGAGGTTTAAGGTTGACAGTGATATAATAGATTTTCTCCTAATAATATTTAAATTACTGTTAACAATTAAAATTTCTATATTTAGAAATTACGCTCAAAGTTGTATTGAACTGTGAAAACTGAATTTGAATATGCTAAAGAGTTGATACTCGAAATCAGAAAATAAAAAGGAATTGCATTGACTAGTGGATAAAAAAATTCCAACTCAATTTAAGATGGAAGTTTTAATGAGTATACAATTTATACTCAACAGTATGCACACTTGCACAGTACTAGTTCTGAAAGGAATCTCTCTTTACATTTTGTAATCATACATTCATACCTGAAAATTCCTTGAGACCAAGACCTTAGGATCCGTGAATCTTGAAAAGGGACTGCTTGCTGTAATGTTTACTCTCTGAACATCGAACTTGACATGTTAGCAAATAGCAATATATAACTACAATGTCACATAATATGACTAGGAGGGCAATGAGGGTGTACAATTATACCTTACACAGAACTGGGTTCATCCACTGGTGTGCACCATATGATGTGCCTGCAAAATAAAAAACCCCATTGCTATCCCCATCACAGATGTACTGGTGCTCTTTAAAACTGGATCTTCTGTGCTGAAACCTGAGCCAGACACATAACTATTTCATTATTATAACCACACTTCCCTTTGAACTAGTAAGACCCCCCCCCCCCCAGATCTGTTTGGAACTCAGGTAAATGCTTGACAAGAGAAAAAATGATGGAAGAAATTTGGAAAGAAAAGAAAAATGGAGGATAGTAAAACATTGATTCAACTTTAGCTTAATGTTATTATTTGTTCAGATAAATTTTTTTAATTTATTTTCATTATAAAAATAATAAGAAAACTACACATGCAAAAAAAGGAAAAAGTAAAACATTAAGCATATTTCATTTTCAGAGGTAAAACACAACATAAGAAATTAGCTTCCCTTAACATTTTCTTTCCTTTCCCCAGCACTTTCTGGGAATCTGGGATACATAACATAGTCTTAAAGATCAAAGAGGATTTGACTCAAGGTGAAGACCTTTTACTCTCATTGCAAGGGAAAAAACATGAGTAAAAAAAATTACTCCGTATATGTGTTGCAATAGTTCATACTGAGCATATCACCCGAGAAACATATTCTATTGATTTTTTTTGTTACACACAGTACAAGGATTGATCTCTTTTATCCTTTTTAACTCCGATTTCATATGTTGGTTCATGTTAGCCGACCCAAAACTCTTTTGGACTAAGGCTTGGATGTTGTGGTACAATGCAAAACCAAGCGTTGAACCTTAAATGTAAGCTGATTAGGCCTCTCCAACATAAACACACCCTTCCCAAGGTCCCTCGAAATGGAATATATATTTTGCAATGACACAGACCTATAGTTTTTCTCAAGACAAGTGCTCCCGAATTGTAGAAAAGTGATAGCTTCTTTCACCTGTAGTTGAGAATCTGAGATTAGTTGAACCCCAAAAAGACTTCAGCATTTTATACCATGAACTCCTTTTGGGAGACTTCCTATATGTTAAACTAACCAGATGATGAAAAATAGGAATTTGCTTGCTAATTTCACTTCTCTGCAACTGCAAGATCATTTGGAAATCAACAGGATTTAAAAACATTAAAATAGATTCAATGCATGAGTGCATGACATCCATGGAAAGTCACATTGTACACACTTTGGGTGCATACTGCATACCTTTTCAAGCAAAGCATGTGGAAGCAATGAAAAACGCACAAAAGGAAAAAACAAATCAAGCGATGTAAGCCGTTGTCCAAAAAGTACTTCAGGAGTTGAATTCATCATCATCTCATCTATCCTTTCCCATCCAAAGTATTCCTCTGCTTGCAAGGACCAGCAAAATATTGCATTCAGAACATTTTCTTCAGATGTGACAGTCAACTCTGGATGCTGAAAACATAAAATCTCAGTATCTCACAATAAGAATATGAAAAAGTTATACCTCCCAACTATTAGAAGATAAATTTTAAAATTATACGGAATGAATTATTGAATCATTTTCTACCAGTAAACCAGATATCAAATAATGAAACATTTTAGCTGCACAAACCACAATGACTGAATACGTAGTTTTTTATTTAGTCATATCCATTTAGAATATTGTATCTATTATATTGACTTCAATGTATAAACAATTTGGCATTACATGCATCATGCCCATGAACACATTTTCTCTACCATCGGTTCAAATTCAAAGTGTGAGAGATTTAAATTTCTTAGAGCCCATTACAGATTTCAGCCAAATAAGCAAGTCAAAAACTACTTATCTTGCTTACTCTACTGATAAGTAGGGCTGGCATTTTTAACCGAAAAAACGAAAACCGAGCACTAAAAATACCGAAACCGAACCGACTTGAATGGGACCCGAAAGTCGGAACCCGAGTATAAATCGGTTCGGACACGGTTCTATGATATTTAAAATCGGTTCAAACCGAACCGAACCGATTTTTAATTTTATAATAATTATTAATTTTTTTTATTTTATTCATGTCCGTTTATGTAATAATTATACTATGCGTCTTAATGGGTAACAACCTTCACAAGCGGCTCAGTGGTAGTGCCCTTTGCTTCCCTTCAATCCCACCCGAGTTCGATTCCCCCCTCTCGCATATCTCTTCAGTTTTGGATTTTTCTTCTCTAAGACTCTAAGAACTTGTTTCCTTTACTTTTTCTTTACCGTTGAGTTTGTTCCCACACCGGTTAGATTAGATGAGTTACTCCTCATATCTCCCTATATATTCTCCCCTTTGAAGTTGGACTAAGGCGGGTGACTAATAATGCTTAAATGCTGTTAGTAGTCCCTGATTAGTCAACTATTGTGTTAATAATTTAATATATGGATTTATTAAAAATCCGTTCGGTTCCTTTACCAAACTGAAAACCGAACCGAAATTTCGGTTTCCGAACTATTGGGTACTGATCATATTTGGTTCGGTTTCGGTTGTATTATTTAAGAAACCGAAAAATCGGTTTCTGTTTCGGGTTCTCCATTTTCGGTTCGGGAACCGAACCGAACCGAATCCAGCCCTACTGATAAGCCCATAAATGCTACCAAATGGGGCCTTAGCAATATATGCCCTTTTTGGTTATTAGTTTAGTGTATTTCTTCTCAATGACATATTAAAATGCAATTTTTTTATGTGCCATGATTAAGGAAGCTTATATATATCTAAATAGTGTCACATGTGTTGAGCTGTCACAGCATGTGTTACAGATGTGACGACACTATTTCAACTATACAACTTTGTCTCTTCCTAGATGAACCTATGTGAGCGTGTTTGTTAGATGGAGGATCAGAAAAGAGAGAAAGGTGTTTATGTTAAATCTATGAGTGAAATATAAGTGAATTGTGTGTAATAAATATGTGTATTACTGCTGCGTCTGATTTTTCATCACAAATTCACCTGGAGGATAACACTAAATGTTGCTTCATCTAGCATGACAAATTCATTGCTGGCTGTAGTACAATAATCAAAATGCATAGCGAATTCCCTCTCGTACGCTTCTTCAATTAGTTTACATGACAGAACTGATGCTATCACTTGAAGAACAGGGCAAACCGTGTCCTGCAATAATGTCAACAGTTAGCCTGATAGTTGACTAACTAATATGTTGCCGAAAAGTTTCTGCTTCAGCGCACAATAGAGAAAAGTTGTTGTATGACCTCCATCGAATGAATAACTCCAATCCTGCATGCAATATATAGACAAACGGTATCAATATGTTATAATTCATTGATCCGCATAAAGGGCTTTGTACATGGTCACAAGTCCGAACTGCACCACTTCTCCATTCTTTTGTTCTAATTCCACTTTTGCCACTAGTAGTACCATGAAACAAAACAACATTGTAGGAAATAAAACATGAGCTGTGGCATTGGATTATCCCTTAAGCTTTACCTCTTTAAGGTGCTCAAGAACTGCTTTGCAGCACTCCTGATGAAGTAGATAGACCCCAAACTTATCTGCCAGTAGAAGCAGCTGGAGTAACAGGGTGTTGATGTCCCCCATGATTTCTTTCTTTAGTTTTCCGGTGTACAAGAACTCGAGCATAGCTCGAAATGCTTCAGGATTAACATCTCTTAAGGGGAGAGTAGAAGAAAAACTTTCCTTCATGCCATTAGAGAACATCTGCAATTACCAATTCTTTTCCTTTAATCCTTTATAAACATTTAAAGGATAGTACAAAAAAAGAAAAGCACATCGCTAACTCCATAAAGCAGTTCACTCTACAGCTTTGTATCTATCTAGATGTTGGACAGTGATGAAGAAACATGCTGATCTTTCACAAATAAAGAAAGATTTGGTGCTAACTGCTAAGCCCCTCAATGTCCATCAAATTCATGATTGATAGCATGAACGTAATGTCATTTATGTTGTATAGATGATTATTATAGACTAATAGTAGAAGATTATTATTATCCTGTATCTATCAGAAAAACATTGAAATTTGTTAAGATATAAAAGTCAACAAAGGTTACCATTCAAAGTTTGTAGATAGAAATTCCTTTGGGCAGAATGCATAACTGGTACCTTAACTATTGTTATTGATGCATTTCAGTGCCCAAACAATCTAATGAAAAAAATTGGTACCGTAAGTGCATTTAATTGTCTCATTTGAGTGAATTGACAGTTCCATTTCATATTCTGACCATAACCATCTGCGGCAGTAGCCTAAATTCCACGTTCATTACCAAGAAAATTGAGAGTTATGAATTAAGCCACACAACCAGTGCCATCAAACTCAAAGCATTATCATACTCAGGTTTATGTGTAGTAGCTCAAGTTTGAGTTTTAGCTTGCTTACTACTACCTCCATCCCACTAAGATTGGGACAAGAGAAGCTGACACGATTATTAAGAAAAGTGAGTTTGTGTAGTTGATATTAAATTGATAAAATAAGAATAAAGTAAGAATGATTTAGAGCCACACAAACTTTGTCAAATTTGGAATGGGACAATCTTAGTGGGATTTCCCGAAAAGGTAAAATGGGACAATCTTAGCGGGACGGAGGGAGTACATTGTAAACAAGCCTGGAAAGACTATAAATTACACAGATATGCCTATTTGATGACAGGTAAGGGAGAAAAAAAACAAAGAAACCGAGAAAAGAAGAGAGAGAGAGAGAGGTTGGTGAGTTGAGAGAAAAAAAGAAAAAAAAAATCTATTCTACGTTAGAGCTTATTTCTCATTTTAAAAAAAGATTTGTTATCTCTGTCGTTGAGTAGCTTGAAACATTTGGGATTTTGTATTAGGGATTTATTATACTGACTTTATATTTATGTAGGTGTGAGGTTAGAGCTTATTTATCTGGCCTAATACGAGATCTATAGAGTGTTTATCTTTGGTTAGCTCAAAACATTTGGAATTTTGTATAGGGGATTCCTTGTTACACAGTAGATTGTTTGAGAGCCTGTGGTGTTTCTTAGGTATAGGACTTTCCAGGTAAATCCATGTCGCTGTTGTTTATTTTTCACAAATTATTTCTGCTCCGATTCAAATTTTTTCTTAAGTTTCATCTGGGGTTCGACGTGAAACTTAGGGAACCTTGTTTCGTTTAATGTTTTCCACTCCAAACACTACACTATGTTGCATTGATGTGTATCTATCATAGGAGCGAAGATTAAAAAACACTGACAAGGAAAAGTAAAATACCTTTGAGAAAGGAGCACTCCACAAACCAAGTATAACTTTGTGGGATTGCACAATGAAGTCTCCAACATATATCTCTAGATCACTATACTTGCCAGTTAGAAAAAATTGTTCTAGCTTCCATGTATTGATCGGTAGCCCATAAGGGAAGGCAGGGATGCAAGGAACCCGGCTCACATAGGATATCTCTGCATTCTTACCCGAATCTAAAAGTCTGTTGTCAATGCTAAAATGTGCAACAATTTCTTCACATTGCTTTAGCAATGGTGTAACTTTAAACTGCAAGCTCAAAGCTTCCAAGGAATTGACTTCACATTCTGATATCTACAAATTATATAATATATGAGAATGAATTAACGTACAGATTACAGAAATTACCAGTCAAGTATAATACCATTTTTAAAGCGCTTAAGGACAGGCTAGCCAGTTCAAAAATGTAAACCGAGAATAAACTGAAGAGACCAGAAAATGCTAGCTAGCTAGAAGGAATCAATTAGAGAACAAAATTAACTAATGTGCATAAATATAGTACAGTAGAACGCAGACCAACCTGGGTATGTCCAGTGTAGATATACTGGAGAAAGGCATGGAGAACTGGATAACTAAGATCATGCAGGTTAATAACGTCTTTACCAGAAGAAGTGAAGCTAAAATCCCCGGACGCCGCCAATATGACCTTATGAGCTGGTACAGCCCTTCCCTCATCTTTTCCAACAATGAAGATGACATCAGATAGTTCCCAGCTCTCAAGATAATTTTCAAGACCACCCCAACTTGCTTCAAACTCTCCACCTGTATCCCCCACCAGTTCACCCTTACTATTACCATTCTCACATCCATCATTTCGATGATGATGATCTACATGTTCCCACAAACTTACACTATGGTTCAGTGTGACAGGTGGTAGTATTTGAACATTCCTGTAGCCAACATGTTTGTCCCAACTACTGAGACCAACATACTGAACGCTGCAATTAGGGTTTGAGTGATGCCACTGAAAGCAAAGGTCCTGAAACGGATTCCTTCCTTTGCCAACACTAATCAAACCATCATAGACGCAGATCCAGTAGCTCTGAAATGTTGAAGCAGAACAGCAAAGGTCAACTCCAGCCGCATCGACCGCCGTTTCCCCATCCACCTCGATTTTCAACCTTCTATTCCTATGACTGCCTATAATCACTGTGTAATGGGGACTATCGTCCCTCTTGTAATGATAGTGTTGGCTACCTACACGCTCTCGGAAAACAACAGTGACGTCATTTTGGGCAAAAGCATCAAAAGCTACGCAGCCTCTTCCGCCCTCTCTGAACCGAAGATCATCGTTCCAGGAGCATTCGAAGGGAGCCACCACCGTGAGAATTTTCCGCTGGTTTATCGCCATCGAGTTTCAGCCTTGCGCTGCCGGCGTGATTTCATTCACCGGAAAAGTAAATTCCGAGCAGCAAAATAATCAGCAGATTCTGTGGATAAACAGGACTATAACAGACAGTTGCGAGAATGGTGGAAATGTATTCTTCAAAAAGAAAAAACACAGGAATCATTCCCTGCCTGAAATGAAGTAAACCTATAACCGAAAGAAGACAAAGAAGTCACCATCTATCCAACTAACTGCTTGATCGGATCCTACTCACATTCTTATCCTGTTTAAAAAACGAATTATTTTGGACTTAAAAGAATTGTTTTTGCCATTTTTAATCCCTATCATCTTCAATTTGATATTTTGGGTATTCAATTTCTAATTTTAGTAATTTGATTATCAGTCAATTTCTTAAATAGGACTTGTTGATGTTTATTCCTTCAACCCTTGGACCCAACACGTAAGCCCAAAGATTTCGAGTGGAGTGAGTGTGTGGTTATCTAGCCCAACAACTATTAGATGAATCAGGAAACAAGAGTAATAGCAGGCAATGTAAATAGGTATTATTAACTTCGTAATAACTCCCCTAAGTACAATCTACTTGCTAACAAAGGCACGTCGGCCGTTCGTCTTACAAGGCAGTTAGAAATGCTGCGAGTAAGAGTGCTGAAGCTAGTATGCTAAGAATAGAAAGTTGCCAACCCCTTACAATGAAATAAATGCTTCTATTTATACCCGCCAATGGGCAGGTGGCTGTACTGACGTGGCAGCCTGTGGACCGCTGGTGTCCCAACTACCAAATCTTTAGCATTAAATGCACTTCCCGCCAGAATCTAGGTTTCCCGCCGGAATAGTGGGGACGTTCGTCCACCCGGGAAGTGAGTTGGATTCCTCCAAGTGACCCTTGAGGGATATTGGCTGTTCGTCTCCTGGCCTTGATGGATTCTCACCATGTGGGCTGGGTCTCCTCCGATGACTATGGGCTTGCTCAGGAGACGTTCGTCGTCACCCCTGATGGCCCGTGGCTCCGCTCCTTGTCCCTGCTTAGACGTTCGTCGGGATGAGCCGCTGGGCCTGAGTCCTCCAACACCAGACGTTCGTCCATGCTTAAAGTACATGGGCCTGTGGGCTGGCCTAGTTTCTAGCTGGACGGTCGTCTGGCAAAATGGGTTAGTGGGCCGGACCTCGGCTTGGGCCCTTAACCCAACACAAGTCCCCCACTTCTGATGTTCTGAGCATGCGCAGGACATAAGGAAGTATGAACCTCCCCGAAGTAGACGTCCGTACTTTGGCACTCGTGTTCGTTGCATCTTGGCGGAATCGTACGCTCGTGGCCATGGTGCTTGACAGCTGTTGACGGTTCAGGAAACGAGGTGACGGCCGATGTTGCGGCGGCGCATTTTCCCGAGGAGGTGTCATCATTACGTTTCCATCCCACGCACAGCGCGTGGCCGGGGTACGCTCCTCGCCACGTGTCGGCCCCTTGTTGGCTTCGCCATCGGTGTTTTCCCCTTTAAATACCGGGTTTTCCCTCTGAATTAGGGTTCCCAATTTCTGCTCTCTTGCTCCCGATTTTCCGCAGCTCTTCAAGTCTTCTTCTGAATCCGGCTAACCCCTTTGTAAGGTAATTTCCCCCCTCTGCTCCTTTTCTTGTTCTGATTCCTAGCCGAAATGACCTCGATGGAGATTTCGTCAAGCTCTGATTCCGGTTCGTCGGGTTCCTCCTCGGGCTCCTCTTCGGCCGATTTGAGTGCTCGCTCCCCCGGGAAGGCCAGCATTTCCGGGACCTCTGGTTCAGCCACGACGGTGGGGACCATCCGGGCTGATGGTGAGCCGGATAATGTGTCGCAAAGTAGTGGGAGCGACGCCGGGGACGGGGGTGCCGACGGGGCCGTAGATGTTATTGACGCCGTCCCCCTGAACGAGCGCCCCGCCGGTTATGATTCTGCAGACGAGGCCCAATCTGGCTCCGACCTGGAGGTGCACGATTTAGGTATTCCCATGGATGTGCAGAGGCACATTTGCAAGATTAAGAGTGTCTTAGAGCACAGGCAGTCCCTCTCCAGCGTCGCTATGAACAAGATTGCTTCCTTCTTTCCCCATCCGTTCGTCTTTAGCCATAGCGGGGCCGAACATGCCATGCGGCGACGGCCGGGGATGATCATCCTGCATGTGGATTCTGTGGAGGCCGGTCTGCGGTTTCCTCTCCATCCCTTTTACGTGGAGTTCTTCAACTGCTACCAGGTGGTTCCGGCGCAGTTCATGCCCAACTCTTATAGATTTATCTCCGCATTCCTCGTGCGCTGTTCGTCCGCAAAAGCCGTCATATCGCTGGATCTGTTCCACTACTTCTACCGGGTCACCCCGCAGAATTCCGACGGTTACCTGAGTGTGGCCGCTCGTCCGAAGAGGAAGCTATTTGAGCACTATCCTTCCTCCATCCATGATTGGAAAAATAGGCTCTTTTTTCTTAGATATGACGGTCCTCCCCTCCCAATCCGGTGGAACGGCTACCCTCCGAAGATTGAGTCGCCGGCGCTGTCTGCCGGGCTGGAAGTGGAAGTGAAGAAAGTCCTGGAAGGCGGCGTTCGCCCTATAGGGGAATACCTGACCGTCGAGGCACTCTCTGAAGCAGGCATAGGTACCGCCCGTGTTCCTGGATTTCTTCCTCCCTTGGACGCTCGTCTCGGGGCACGGGCGGTCCTGTCCTCTGAGGTGGGTGTTCCTCCCTATCCCTGTTCGTCTTTTCATATTCTTGTATTTCTCTCTTGCAGGTCTCCCCCTTACCGCCGAACAAATGGACAATGCTGAGTGCCTGAGGAACAGGAAGGCGAAGATGGCTGCGGCCAAAGCGGCCAGAGAGGCAGCCGCCCATGGAGCCGGATCATCGGCCTCCGACGCCGCCCGTCGGACTGCAGACGGTGAGCAGCACCTGATTGCCACCCTGCTGAACGAGGGGGCCCTGACTCATCATGCTGAAACTGCTCTCCCCCCGCCGGTCGTTGCCACAAAAGTGGTTCCCAAGAAGGGGGGCGAGAAGGCCCCGGAGAAGAAAACGAAGAGGGGGCGAGACTGTGTTTCCTCCGGCCCCATCGTTGAGGATGTTAGCGGTCTATCCCTGAGCCGGCCGGCTGAGGAGCTTTGGAGGGAGCTTGGGGCTAAAGCTGGCCTCGAACTGCCCCCCCGGTCGTCTTCCGAGGCGACCAGCGCTGCTCTTGCTGCGGCCATCCAGGTATTGTTGCGATTCGACCCATCTTGTCCCCTTGACGCTCGTCGCTTCGCCGTCTAAACTCTGTTTATCCCATTTTTTTCTTTCAGTCAGGGCTGTTGGTGCTGCAGGCCGAGGCTGCCAGGGATGCCGCCCTGCAGGAGGCAAAGATCAAGGCCGAAGCCGCCATACTGAAGGCTCGGGAGGCCGCCCGTCGGGCAGAGGAAGAGGCTGCTTCGGCTAGGGAGGAGCTTCAGTCCCTCCGGGCTGAAACCGGCGCCCAATTGGCCTGCCTGGAGAAGGCCGGCTTCAAGCTCATGCCGGTACTTCCGGCCCCAAAAGATGCCACCCCGGAATGGTGCATCGATGCCTCCGGTTACCGGAATACCGGCGAGTTTATGGAGTCGGCCAAGGACTTCTGCGCCGGGGCTTTTGGTGACGTGTTCTCTCATGCTCTGGGGAAAATTCCGGCGAAGGACCGTCTGAGGTTCGGTGTGCGGCTGATGGAAAGCTCCCCCCTGTCGCGCCAATTCCTCTATGATTCTGCCGATAGCGCCTTCGCCGGTGGCTATAATGAAGGGATCAAGGCCATCCTCCCAATCTTCGAGAAGCTCCTAGGCCCTGGCGTCAACCCAGCCGATCATACGGATGACGATCTGCTGATCGAGGCCCTGGGGAAAATAGGGCGGGACAGACGCCGGGCGGCGGCCATAGCCATGGGGGATATCCCGGAGCCCCCGACCCCTGAGCCCGAGCCTCGGGAGGAGGAACATACTCATGCCAACAGCCGACCGCCGTCCCCCCACATGTGTTGATTTATTTCTTAGCCTAGATTTATTGCAGTACGTAGACTTGTAGTTTCCAGCCGATAGTGCTGAAGAATAAAGATCCACATTTTGCCAAAATTCGTTCCCTTTGTCTCTTGTTGTATGGAAATTCATTCCGTGCCTCGAAATATTCTGCTGCAAAGTAGTTTGTTAGGACGTCCATCCCTGCTCGTCATTTGACTTTGGGCAGGGACGTCTCCTTGCCCCCCTGGCAACAGCATTCTTGACGACGGTCGTCGGAGGCTGTCCAAACAGCATCCTTGCCCCCCCGCGTGAAGTACGTTCGTCGGGGGCTGCCTCAATATTTCCTGACGATGTCCGTGTATGGTTGTATGGAAAGACGTGCGTGCCCTATTGGTAGCATGGACACGACCCTTCTGTGCCCTTCATTGTTGACGCAGTACGGAAAATTCCTCCGATACCTCGATACCGAGGCCGGCCTGCCGTCCACACAGCATTTTTACAATTGGGGGACGTCCGTCGGTAATCGCTTCGATGGTACGGTTCTCAAGTGCGGACATATGGATGTGTTTCACTGGGGAAGCGTCAGGTGGCGACGTTCGTCTACCGTTGCGTGTTGAAATTCGGTGACCGGAAAGACGAGCGTGGCCGGTTGATGAACTGTGCAGACATGGGAAGACGAATGTCTCCACAACCCTCCTGCGGGGACGTCCGTGGCATGGATCCGGATATCTTCGTGGTGGTTACGCGGCGACGAAATCGAGGTGCTTAAATACCGTGGTAGGTACCGGTACCCAGGCACCACGTGTCCCGCTTCGGTTGGTGTGTTCCGGCGGTGCTGCCTATAAGTATTCAGAACCCATGTAATCCACCCATTCTTCTCCTTACGCTGCACAATTGTCTTCTCTCTCTAGGTTTCTCTCAACTCGTACCGGAAGTCCCAATTCCCAAAGGTACCGTTCGTTGCCATGTCTTCTGAAAATCGTTTCGACGATGGATGTTCTTCCGGTGATGACTTGGAATATTATGAGCGGGGAATGCCACCCTGGCCTCCCCGTTATAGCCTCAGCTTCTCGTACGTTCGGCGTCAAGTTCAACGCCTGACGAACGCTGACAAGCGTCTGATCAGCCAATGGTTCTATCCTCCCAGAACCTACGACGATCGGCGTCTGCGCAACCCCATGCGCCATCTGCCCGGCTACGTGGTGGTCCACTTGGATTCGGTGGTAGCCGGGCTGAACTTTCCCCTGCATGGCTTCCACTTGGAACTTTTCAGGGCCCTCGAGATAGTACCCGCGCAGTTCGTCCCTGCCGCTTATCGGATAATCGCTGGCTTCATCATTAGATGCCACAGCGTCGGTGTGACCCCCACCGTGGACCTGCTGCACCATTTCTTCCGGCTGTCCCCATTCGGACGTACGGGGTATTTGACCCTGATAGCCCGTCCGTCCATGGTTCTCTTCTCGAACAATGCCGGGAATCCGGACGGATGGGAAGAGCGTTTCTTTCTAGCCGGGGTAGGCTCACCGATGCCATTCTCCGACCGGTGGAATGCTTACCCGGTGAAGACGATCCCGCCGCCCATGACGGACGAGGAGCTCGGGTATGCCAAGCGCATAGCCGGACTTGGCATCCAGAATCTCCGATCGCTGGTGGCCGAGCCCTTTAAAGCTCAGGCTGGGTTAGGTGCGTCCGTTTGTACTTGTATTGTTTTGACATCTCTTCGCTGTTATGGCTCTGAACGTCTTGGTTCCTTTTGTGCAGGAGTTTTCCC